GAGAACTGTACCATTGATACCATCGACGAGCTGGTCCAGCATGAATTCCAGATAGATTTCCACTCACCGTTCGATCCATTCGGATTTCCATGGAGCGTCGGTGGGCCGCGTGCGAGGAGAAATATGCCCGAGCAAGAAAAGAGTGTCTTCAGTTTCGCGCAGCTGGTAATATCCGGGTGTTCATTCGAGCCGGAATTCCCAAATTCCGAGGAGGAGAAAAGCTGCGGTCTGTGCAGCGACACACACACACAGAAGAAGAAGGACCGTTGACCACCTTGTTCCATGATTTCGTGCACAATGGTACGTCGACCGAGGGGCAAGGCTGGTTGGATGGGGGGGGGAGGGGGTTGAAATAACGGCCAGTGCGATTTCCAATCTTTGCAACCGAAAATCGTGCTTGATCCCCTTGCAGGGGAGAGAGGGATGGGCGGTGGGAGGAAGAAGCGCAAGCTCATAGAATCTCGAAAAAGTTCCCGACTTCAGACAGCGATAAGAGGAGGCCGGGAAGGGGGGGAAGGAAGGAAAAGAAAGAAGAGAAAAGAGAAGTGAAGGAGGGGAGAGGGCTGGCCCGCTTGGATTACAGGCAAAATACGTCGAAACGAAATCCTTTCATCCTCTAATACCGATTTCGCTCGTCGAGCGACCGACTGGCTTGTCGTTCCACCCTGACACGATAGAACGAACAGGCAGGTTGAATCTGAAGATTTGATTTTCGGAGGTGCGAAGTTCCGTCTCGCAGGCACGAGAACGTCGAACTACGATTGACATTGTTATCCGTCCAATTCATTGAATTCTCGATACAAACGGAATAAGGATAAATGAGGAAGGCTCGCTCTTTTTCAGTTTTTTTTTTCTTTTCTTCTTTTCTTTTTCTTACAGATGTAGAACTTGGCGATTCTCTTTCATTTTAACTTCGACGTTAGTAAGTAACGCACGTTCGTCAAGTGCTATTGTGAAACGATCAATGTCGATGAAATCAAATGAATGAAACAACGAGGTCGAGAGTTTCCTAGCGATCCTGGAAGCTACACTGTGGCGGAACGTAATGTAACCAGTGTTTTGCTTGCCGCTACTTTCCTGGTTTTAACCTAACAAGAATAAACCTCCCTCGAGAGGATAAAGACACGGTGGTTCAGCTGCACCAGCGAAGAAGTCGGGAAGTGAACACGATGAAGCTACGAGGAGAAAAGAGAGAGAGAGAGAGAGAGAGAGAGGATGGGGGGATGTGAGAGAAAGAAGAGCGGCGCAGAAATGCAGCAGAGAAATAGATTATGGCCCGCGGGCGAGAGAGAAACTCCGTTATTCCTCGAGGAAAAGAGATTACAAGATGTATCATCGCTGAGGCTTGCCAAGACTTTATGAGGCTGTAACCGTTGCCACGATCGAGTCGTTAATGCCATGTAGTAACATCGATTCAGACAAACTTGTCCACCTTGTGAACAAACGTGAACCTTTGCTGAAAACGTGAAAATTCCTATAATTTGTTAAAACACAGGCAAATATGTTAAAAAACGCCATATTCGAATGCGTACGAGTCACACGCAAGTCGCGATGTCAAGTTTAAAGAAATAACATTAAAAAAAAAAGAAGTTCAGCATGGATAAAGGGGTATCAGGGTAAATCACGAACTACACAATCTCCATAAATGCGAACATATTTTACGAGAAAATTGCCCGGCGAGAAAATCCCGCTAAAAGAAAACTTGAACGTTCCAAATCCTCTTTTTTACCCGACGATTGATAGCCACATTTGCATCATCGAAGGAATTTTACACGTTGCTGCTTTCAAAGCGAGGATTGTTATTTTTTTATTTTTTCTTTTTCTTTTCTCTCTCTCTCTCTCTAGCTTCGACGAAAACTGGACAGCCTATATATCTAATACCATTTCGTAATTTCGTTTCGGACGGCAGCGATGCTTGACGTCCAGCCGCGATCCGAGAAAATGGGATTTTCAGGCGGATTCTATTTTTCCTACGGTCCAACAACACAAGGGACAATGTCGAAAAACTGATCGTGTCCTCTGATAATGATTTACGATACGTAATATTCGGAGTTGGATCCGCCGGTTTTTTGGCGGCGTGGTTGATCGAACGTTGGTTACCGAAAATTGGTTACCAACCGGCTCGAACTCGAGTTTTTCCCTGCCACTGTGAATTTTTCACGGTGCCGTGTATTTTTTAGTAACGCCTAAAGTAAATATCCACCGCAAATACGGTACGTGAGTTTTGACAAGGAGAACCAGGAAACAGAGAACGGTGGCCGAAAATCTAAACAAAACAACTAACTACTCGCGAGACGTTCAAAGATAATAATGATTTTGAAGATTCCAACTCATCATTAAAAGAAAAAAAAAAAAAAAAAAAAAAAAAAAAAAAAA